GACCTATGCAGAAGGCCTTTGTCTTTTTTCTAGTTTGTTATATTATGTATATAGAGCTTTCATTTTAAGTCTTTCTCCCTCCGTTTCCTATTTTCTTTTTGATATTAAAAGCATTTAAGGGTATAGATTTCCCTTCTGACTACAGCTGTGTCTCACAGGTTCTGCATGGTGTGCTGTTGTCATTTCCATTATTAGATGATTTCTATTTTGGGTTTGATCTTATTTTTGATTCAGAAGTAACTCCAGAGTGTATGCCTTCATTTTCAAGCCGTTTATGCTTTCAGCCTTGGAGTTTGCTTTGTTTGACATTAATATTGCGGTTTCTACTCCCTCTCTGCTTTCATTTGCTTGCATAGTTTTCGCCCCTTGCTTTATTTTTGGTCTTTTTTGTCACCTTGTTTTGGGAGAATTTCTTGTAAACAGCATTTGGTTGTATTTTATTTTTTTTTTTAACTTACTCAGACAATCTGTTTTGCAGTAGGGAAATTCAACTCTCCTCACTCTCCTCTCTAGTACAAACAGATACAGGCAACTCCATTGCCACCGGGAGCAGCGTGCAGTGGGCTTGCTCTCTTGTTATTGTTCTGGTCCATTCTTACAGACAACACCTTTCCCATCATGCCTGTTGTGCAAGTAAAACAGATTGGAACATAAAGACTATATAAATGCCAAGTACCAGTCTTACACGGTTACAATCATTTACCCCAAATTCTGTTGCTCCTTTTCAGGACAATCTTCTCCACAATGTACAAGATGTTTAAAAAATGTCTATGTGCGCAGCTCAAGTCCCCTCTGGACACCACTAGATTTCAAATTCCTGAGAGTAATTTCCTGACAATCCAAGAGCTGAGAGGTGGGATTGATGGGCTAGGAGGATCGATGCCTCCCCACAGTTAGAGCAGCCAATGCCACCCTGTTGCTGATTCCTTCCTTCTCTTTTCCATCTTGGCCCAGCAAGGTGACGCCTTAGTTTTAGGGACAGCTGTATTACTAGGGGTTTACAAAGCAACACGAGAGTCCCGAATGACCCAGTTTCTTATTTTCACTACTCTCCCCTTCTCAGCCTAGCAGCACCTCTGAAACCGCTGCTTCCGCCAAGCGAGACCCTTGCAGCCTAGTCTAGAACATTGGCTCTCCCCATTGCTTCCGGCCCATGCTATGGGAACCTCAGCTGTTATGGCGGATGGGGGTCTGCTAACATCCCAGTCCCAGCTATTCTCAGTTCAGTATCTTTCATCAAGATTTGGGGCCCTATGCAAATTCAAGGTGGGACTGGCCATTTGTATCCTCAACATGCAATATTAGTTGGTATTCTACAATAGTTATGTCTCTCACTGTGTCTCTCACTCTCTGTCTCTTTTTCTTCCCTCTTGGATGTTCCCTTAAGGTTCATACAGGCTCTTTCCAGAGTCAGGATGGCTGTAAAGAGGCTGGGGCCTCATATACAGTCCTCTATGCTAGCCCATATGGTACTTTGTATAAATTATCAAAGGATGCATTTTCTTCTTGGAGTAGGTGCAGCCTATGCCATGGACATGGCTTAGGGATTGAAGGGCATAGTTTCAGGTCCCAATTACCCCCCTTTCACCAGATGTCCAAGTATAAAGACTAGCTAGTATCAGTTTTAGATAGTGGCCCTGCCTGGTCACAGAGAGAACTAAACATAGAGAGTCTTACATATTGGGCCTGTAGAAGAAATAAACTGTTGGGCTTTGGTTCCAGTCTATCCCTTTGACATCCTGGGAAAACTTTGGTGTTCTGCCTCCGAGACTCCATTTTGAAATATGCAGCTCAAAAAAATCAGAACTGAGAGCTAAACTCTGACCTTCAGACCGACCTCATCCCCCATGTCTCCAGACTCAGGCACGAATCGCTCAATAACCTCAGCCTTCACATACACAACCACCTGTGGAAATGTAGTGAGCAGTGCCTTTGCAGGACCATGAGAAGCAGGGAGGAGCCTCTGGGGAGAGGGATCTATCTGATGAGCCACCAAGGGAGGAGCACAAGTGGCACCACGTAAGTATCATCTGAACTGAAGCAAGGGGTATGGTAGTGGCTGGGTGTTCCCAGCCTAAACTGATAAGTTAAGCATATCCAAGTTTATCTGTTGATAAACATGGGGAGCCTGGGCAGAGCCTGGTGAGATAGATCAGTTGGTAAGTCCTTGCCTCACAAGCCTGAGGACCTGAGTTCTAAGAGCCTAGGAATCAGAGACAGAAGAATCCCTGGGGCTCACTGGTCAACCAGTCTAGTCTGATTGTTGAGATCTTGTGTCAACCAATGGAGGTGAACAATGTTCTTGGGGAAGACATCCATCTTCCTTAGGGTTTTATGACTATGAGGAGACACCATGACCACAGTAACTCTTATAAAGGAAAACATTTCATTGGGGCTGGTTTTAGAGGTTCAGTCTATGATAGTCATGGCAGCATGCAGGCAGACATAGTGCTGGAGAAGGAGCTGAGGGCTCTACACCTTGATTCTCAGGTAAGCAGAAACGACTGACAACTACAGTGAATGCAGCTTGAGCATATGAGACCTCAAAGTCCACTCCCACAGTGACATACTTCCTCCCATAAGGCCACACCTACTCAAACATAGCCACACCTCCTAGTAGTGTCACTCTCTGTGGCACTTCAAATACATGAACCCTATTCAAACCACCATGACATCTGAGATTATCCTCTGGTCTCCAGATGTGTGAGCCAACTGACATACACACTGCACCTGTGTGCACGTGCGTGCGCGCTCACACACACACATACACACACACACACACTCACACCTGTAGGTGCACACACAAACATACAGAAACACATACATATGCATGAGGAAAGATTGTTTAACATTTTAAATCACATTTATTTAGTTGGTAGGGCAGAGAACACATGCCATGGAGGTCAAAGGACCACTAACAAGAGTTCATTTTCTTCTTCAGCCATATGCGTCCCCAGGATCCAACCCCAGTTGCCAGACTTGGCTGCAACTGCCTTTAGTAGCTGAGCCAACTCTCTGTGCGCTACCCGCCCCCACCCCGACACACACACCCGTAAAGATTGTCAGAGCCGGAAAGGCACAAGGTAACAAACATTTGGCATCAGGAAGATGATAATTCTGGAACTGCTTAGAATGGAGAGAAAAAGGAATTGGCAAACCGGCCATGGCATGGGTACACCCAGGGCCTCAGCACTCCTGGGTATCTAAGCAGCCAATTTGGAGGCACCCTCTGAACAGCCTTCTTTTCATCACTAAATTGAACATAATTTGTGCAATAATTTCAGAAACTTTCCCAGATACTTTGAGAGCATGTGTAAAGATGGAGGGCGGGGGATCAGTGCGACTCTCCCTATTCTCCCCACCTCTCCATCAGAATGATAAGTGGGGGCTTGAGTACAGCATAAGGGCTACTAAGCCCCCCACCCACCCACCAATTAAATTTTTTAAGCCTCCATGGAAGGAGTGAATATTAGTTTCCTGATTTATAAAAGCCAAATGGATTAAGCTCGTTCATTGCCTGAGGAAACAAAAAGGAAATCTTCAATACCTCTGTGCACATTGAGAACTCGAACAATACCAGTCTTTGGAAAGCAGAAACCTAATTTGGGGGAATCAATTACCCTCTGTGTCCCTGCCTCTGTGGGCTCTCTCCCTGGCTCCCTCAATAGAGATTTCCTGGGAGGTAAAATGTAGAGTTGGTCCACCACAAGCACACCCTCTCTCCAGCTGTGAGACTAGAGGAAAACTAGGATGGGGTGGGTAGAGTTGCCCCAGTGCCAAGCATATGTGTGAGTGGGGGCTTTTCTGTTACATTGAAGCATGAGGGTTAGTATTGTATGCGGAGAGGTGGTAAGGGGGAAAGCAGTAAGGGGTGAGGTGGGGCGGGATTCGGGGTGCATGTGGCAAAGCTCAGTCAGTGCAGGAGCAGGGTGACTGGGGAGGGGGTAGATATTATGGACTAGACTGGCTCCAGCTTCACCCATTCCATCCTCGCTGCCCCCTGCACCCCTGCCCCGCCCTTGCCTGGTTTCTCTTTTGTAGTCTGTGCTTTCCAGGTTTGTAGCTGCAATCCATGTGCTATAATGAAAAAGGAGGGGGTAGTGTGGCAGAGAGCCACATTCTCAAAGTCATACTCCGAAGAAGCACTCGGCATTCCTGTGCTGGGTCTCCAACCAAAGTCCATAGTCCCAGACCCAGAGCCACACCCAGCTCAACTCACACGGGGAGTTGGAGTCCCACACTCACACCAGAACGTTCTGCGGTTGAAAATTGCACTTTCCCACACGCGGTGGCACAAATGCCACCCTCCCCACTGGTCATAAGCTGTCCCAGCGGCACACATCCCTCACTTAGGCATGCGGTCACACAGGCACACACACATGCACAGAGTCCCTCACATGCACACACTCTGGCTGTGCTTTTGTGTTTTGTCAGAATTAATGAGAAAAGTTCCCGTGCCCTGCGGGTAATTAGTGTCCTTGGAGTTAAATAAGCTAATGGCGGGCACCTCTGGCCCAAGCAATTATGTTTGTGTATTGAATAATTGATTCAAAGGGGGGGAAGGGCTGCTAATCAGATCTGAGCATAATGAATTGATTTAATTAACAGGGGAGTCTGAGGGGCCCTGGGAAATGCAAGCTGCATTCTGGTGAGAGCGAGCGCAGCAAACTGCAAGAGGGAACCGGAGCGCGCGGCTGTGGCGGCTGCTCCGGCCCGGGCTCCGGCCCTAGCTCGGGTTCAGGCTCCCGCTTGGCTCGGGCCGGGTCCCAGCTGCTCAGCCCACGCGGCTGCGGCCCCGCCCGGCGCCCGCCCCCGAGCGCGCCGCGCCCTCACTCGCTCCTCCCGCGCGCCTTGCCGGCCCGCGGCGCTGCGCTCCGGGCGCCGCTCGGTCCGCCCTCGTCGGAAAGCAGCGCAGACGCCCCGTTGGCGACAGTCCGAGACGCGAGTCCCTTTGCATCCTCCGCCTGCACCCGGCTGGAGCCGCCTGGGGACTATGGTTTTGGACCAAGAGGACGGTAGGTGCCAGGGGACACTTGGGAACAGCGCGGGCTCTACCGAGGCCACCTCCATCCTGGTGACAGAGGCCCAGGCACCAGTTTCGACCGCTGCTTGGAGCGAGTTGGCGGCTTACCGGAAGCTCGGAAGCTGGATGTGTGCCCTGTGTGTGTGAGTGTGTGTGGAAGGTGCCAGGCTCTGCGCCGCCCCGTGTTCCTCGCCGGGATGAGGAAGTCTCCCCCCGCCCCGTGCGCATCCTGGAGCCTGTTAGCTGGGCACACTGCAGCCGGGAACTTTCTCGCTCCTGCCCAACTGCAGGCATCCGGAGCGTACAGAGACCCGTGGGACGCAGGCTTCCCAGTTGTGGTTGTACCCACCACTCTCTGGGCCTCCTTGAATATTTTCATATTTTTTCCATACCACGGTGTGAAAGGGACCCCCAGGGGGTACTCAGAGAACTTGGCTGGTGAAGGTGTATTCTAACTAGCTTGGTCTTTGGGTCCCCCCAGCCTTGCACCTGGGGTCTGGGACTTCGGGGCCTAGTTGGTGGGTGGTGTTGTCTTAGCCCCCTGCAGGGCTGAGAGGTTTCATGCCATCAGTTTACCCAGACTACATTAGTGAGTGTCCTGCTGGTTAGGATAGATGGGTGAACTAACCAAGAGAAGTTTGGGGTCTTTGGGGTCTCCTACTGTTACTAGATCCCTGGTGATCTGTTTGTATTAGGAATCTAATTTTTCTCTCATTTTTGGACAGGTGGGTTGGGGGGGGGGGCAGGGGAACTCAGGATAGTTGAGAGTCTTACTCTGCAGCCCAGGCTGGCCCAAAGCTCACGGTTGTAACCCAGGCTGGTCTGGATCATATTCCTTTTCTTAAGGAGCCCCACCCCCCAAGACTGCTGTAAACTTTGGGTCTCACAAAATCTAAGTCTACCCTTGGGTCTAACTATTACGTCTCCCGCCCACCCCGTCACCCCCACACCTGCACTGCACTGTAAGTATTCTCGAGAAGTCATCTCTGTACCATCCTCAGATGGTCATACAGTCACACGTAGAGTATGACAGTAGGACAAGAGACTCAGAAATGTAGAGTTGGGAGCCGCTAATCACTAGGAAGAGGGTCTGTCTGTCTGTCTGGTCTCCTCTTTGGTCCCATTAATTACTTGTCTCATCCTACCATCTCTCCTATGGTGATCAATTGTCCTGGCTTGTCCAGGGCAGTCTGTTTTAGCATAGAAAGTCTTGTAGCATAGGCAATCCCTGAGTCTTAGGGCAGACCAGAGTCCTCCTAAATCTAGCTGTTTAGGGGCTCGTGTACAGGGGTGGGGTGGCTTTCATGGAGGAGCAGGGTAGATTTGTGCCGATTTGGCTTAGGCCTTTCTAAGACCTAACAGTTTATGACTGCAGTTTCTGAAGGCCTCTCTAGGCTCTCTAGAATCCCAAAGAGGGAGTTTGCCGACGGTGCACTTCTCCACGATAAGCTGGTTGCAAATTCCTGTGCACTGGCTGCTTTTGTGTATGTAGTGGAAAGTCAGGACACCAGAACTTGGCCAGCAGGCATCCTGATGGAACTGCAAATAGTGGTTTACTCTGTCCTGTAACTGTCTCGTGCACAGGGAATACCTCTCCAGTAACCACATCTTGGAGATAACTTGGAGACAGACCCTCGGGTTCAGGCATGTTGGCCAGCCTCTGAAGAGTTCTGGATTATCTAGTCGGCCTGGACCCCTTAGGCATCCAGTGAAACTGTCCCCCACCCCCAATGCAAGAACCATTTTTTTTTGTATGTTTCTGCCAGGTACAAAGATGAACTGCTGAGACCTGTTCAGAAATATGTACGGCAGCTAGCAGCCACCCCCATTCTCTTCCTAGAAACTTTGGGGACTGATCAATTGGTGTCCCCTGGCTGTCCCAGAGGCATTTGAAGGGCATTTTGGAGCAGTCTTGCTGTGTTGAAGTGAGATCGCTGGCTCACCACCTGTGGAATGTGTGGAGTGAAAACTGCCTCTTTTGCCCCAGGGCATCTTAGGATTCCACTCAGTCATCATTGTCAAGTCCCAGGACCTAGAAGCTGCCTGGGAGGGGGAGGACAGGAGGGTGGGGCCACCCTACAGGTGAAGCTCACATCTGGCTCCTTCCTAAGCCTCCTGAGACTTGCTGGGCAGCACTGCCACTTAGTTCTGGGGTTCTCCCTTCAGAATGAATTGGGGGGGGGCATGCTTATAGCTAGGGTGTCAAGGAAGCCACCTAAGGTGTAGGGACAAGCCACCTTCACACACAGCACCACTTCCCTGCTGATATGCCCTACCTGCTTCTGTAGCTCACTGCCTTGTGCCTCAGGCCTGGGAAGCAGGCATCCTGGCTCCTCAAAGGGATGTTGGCCAAGGGGCTGCCTGTTGGGTACCTTGGAAGCTGGCGTGAGTGGAGGTTCAGACGAGAGTGGGAATGTGATCCAAGTTGATTAAGACCTGATTTGTGGGTCAGGGTCAGGACCCCAAAGCAAGACGTAGGCCCCTGGAGATCAGGAGCAGGACTACAGACCCTATGTCTCCAGATAACCCAGAGATAATTCTTCAAGGAACTGCCCTTGCCAGGCCTTGCTACATTGATTGGCCCTGGTTCAGAGCAGGGGTGGGGGTGAGGGTGGGGGTGGGTGTAGGGGTGTTGGGAGGGGTTGGGGGAGGCTGCACCAGCTGGGCAGGGAGGAAGCAACAAGGAAGCTTCCCCTCACACCTTGAGGGCACAGCTCTGGCTGCAGTGGCAGGGGAGAGATCAAGCTTGCAGTCCTAAGGGACAGTGAGTCTGAGCAAAATGATATATTTAACATCAAATATACTCAAGGACTATTAGGATTAAGTATTCAAGATGAAGGGGAAAGCAAAACCCTCTGCGCTGTGAACGAGGCATCTCATTAGAAACAGCTGCTCTTCAGTCTCCTCAAAGCCTGACTTCCCTGCCTCGGAGTGAGGAAGGGCTACACTCCCCACCCCATCCTCCTTTAAAGTATGGGGCCCTCTTAGAATGGAAAGGGCAAGGCTTGCCTTTGGTCTCCTGTGTGTGAGATAGTGCCCCACCCCACATTGTCTGGAGCACCACAGTTACCTCTCACATGCTTTTCTGTGGCACCTTTAGAGCCAGAACAGATGTGGCTAGTTCATAAACAGGGAAACTGAGCTGGGAGCATGCCTTTAATCCCAGCACTTGGGAAGTAGACACAGGCAGATCTTTGTGAGTTCAAGGCCAGCCTGATCTACAGAGTGAGTTCCAGAACAGCCAGGGCTGCTCAGAGAAAACTTGTTTCAACAAAACAAAAACAAAAACAAACCAACAATGGGGAAACTGAGGCAAAAAAAGAGAAGTGACTTTCCAGATTTGCTGTTTGTTAACTGGCAACAAATGGCTGGCTTCTCAGCTCCCTACACCTTACCAGAATCAAGTCCTCGGCAACTGCCAGGCCCGAGCTCCTAACGTATCACTCTGGAGCCCTTCTTGAGCTGAATGTCCCCATTTCCACTCCCATTTTGGAGCTCTAAAATGTCTGGGATGGGGGCAGGGGTAGGTGGCCTTCCTGGAGTAGGCAGCCTGGACAGGGTTTTCCAGGGAAGCTGAGTCTAGGAGGAGAGGCGCTGGACCTGTCTTCCTTCCTGCTGGGTGAGCAAGAATTGTCAGCTGCACAACAGAATCTTTTCTGCTATATCCAGTGCCATAGAATAGTGCTGTGGTACATAGTAAGTGCTCAAGAAATGTTTCCAGAAGGAAAAATGCCTTCAAACAATTATGCTTGTTCAGAGAGAAGCTGAAACAGGATTCTCCCTCTGCACAGAATCAGGATGTTGATGGGTGGTGGGCATGGGGGTAGCATGACACCACTGTGATCAGGGACAGTCACTGTAGGACTCACAGGAGGAATTTTGTGTCCTGCAGAGGAATTAACTTTGCCAAACAACTATAGAATCGACTAGAAACCCTAGTCAGATCTGGTAAAGAGAAGTCATGATTAGAGAAATAGCTTTCCCATGAGGAAACAGAAATCCAGGTTGAAGGGCTTGGGACAGGCAGGGTCCACCAGATTGACATGGGCGACCAGGAAGAAACCGTGGTACCCACCAGAGTCATTCGCCGAGCTGGAGCGGAGAGGCCTCCAGGTGGCGCTGCAGAGCCGGGCAACCGCGCGTCTCCACTCCCCATTAACCCGGCAGGGAGGGGGCCTCGGGAAATGTGTGCATTTATTCAGTAGCAGGAGTGCAAACCTCATACATTGAGGGAGAAAGGCAGCGGGAGTCGGCCGCCGAGATTCCCCCATCTCTTTGAATATAATTTCAGATTGAGATTCAGATTAAATCCGAGGGGAAAACACTTTATGAGGCTGAAAGCTGTGTCGTTGCCAGAGCCAGGGTTATGAGCTATCAAATGCAATTACATTAAGACAGATTATACTGGGCAAATTGAGCCATTTAGAAGGTGAGAATCAAAGAAACGGCTCTGATCCTCTCTTCCCCCTTCTCTCTCTCCCTCTCTCTTTCTCTCTAAATTGCAGTTCGTAGTTCCTTGCAATTCTGAGGCACAAAAGTAGGTGAGACTGCTTTTGTATCTGCGAAGTGCTTCACTCCTGAATGTAATTCTAGCTGAGTGCAATCTAGGTTAAGAGCCGGACAAGCGGGTAATTAGAGCCCGCTTGCTGCCGGAGGACCGGCCGCCCAGCCGAAGCGCGCCCGGAGTCGGCGCCCTTTTCCCGGCCGAGCCGAGCAGCGGCTGGACACGGAGCGCCCGAGATGATGGTGCTGGACAAGGAGGACGGTAGGTGGCGGGCAGGGGTCCCGACGTCCCTAACGCCTTCACCGCGGCGCGCGGGATGCCACGCACCGGGACTCAGGGATACAGACGCGGGGGCACGCCGGGTTGTGGAGCCAGCCGGCGGCCCGGGGCTGGAGGAGGGACCCGGGTGGGGTGAGAGAGCTCCTGGCCTCTCGCCCCCTAGGTTTCCAGGTCTGCGGACTGGCGGGCGGGGCGACGCGATTCGCCACGGGGCGGCGTGCAGGTTGAGTGCCCTCTGGTCTCCGCGCCCTGGCGCTTGGCGCTGAGCGTTTGGTCTCTGCGGCTGCTCCTCACTCACCGCAGCCATCACCCCCGCGCCCGCCTCGTAACCCGAGAGGCGCTGAGTGCCCAGCAAATCAGCAGCTTCAGGGAGAAAGGAACTAGATAGAGAGCTTGAGGGCGAGCGAGAGCGCGGGAGGACCGCGCAAAAGCCGGGATGCAAGCCCAAGAGGGGAAGGCCAACTGGGTCCTCCGGGGGAAAGCTGCCCACTAGCATGACTTGGTGAGAAGGACGTCTCCTGTGATGGCCTCTATCTCATGTCTCCTTGAATGTGAAGGCGGGAGTTTGAGCCAGGGGAATTGTCCTGCCATGGGCCAGTAGCACTCCAGAGGGAGTGGTTTGAGGGTGGCCTGGATGTATGGTCAAGATCCTGGGTGCATTTAAGAGGGCTTCGGAGCTGAGAGATCACATGACTGTAGACCACTAGCAGGTGGTCTCATAGACCCATAAGTCATTTTTGGCCGGGAGTGCCTTGCACTAAGTGGCCTAAAAGGTTGGGGGAGCCCAACTGTCTTGAAGGTAAAATACAGCCTGTGTCCTGTGACAGGCACCAGGTCCAGGGAGTGGCTGCCCCAGGATACCTCGGGTCCTGTGTATGTTCTGTAGGTGCTGTAGGGAAAGATGGGCAAAATTGTTGGCAAACTCACTGTTAATGCCATTTGGGTGGGGACTGGAAAGGCTGGGAGTAATGGGACATCCCCAGGAATCCTCCATTGGGTTTGTGCTTTCTGTCCACTGAGGTGTGGTTGCTATGACTACTGCTGGAAACTGAAACTTAAGTGACTTGTTCAAGGTCATATCAACAATGTTCAGTTGGTTGCTGTCTCATTCAGCTGTCCCCGACTAATTATATCTTCTGAGGTATCAGAAGGAAAAGGCCTTTAAAATGTCCCACCTAGGTGGATATATGCAGGGAAGACATAGGGCCGGTAAGTCCCCAAAGACAGGCTCTTGACATGAGTAAAGGAAGAGATAAAAGAGGGGATCTAGATGATTCTGGGTTGGCTGGAGGATAACAGCATCTTCAGCATTCTCCTCTATTCACAGACCCTGGAGTTCCAGGAGGCCATCAGAGTACTGGGCTGGTCCTGTTGTATATAGGATTCAAGGAGAAGGAGAGGTCTGAGGTCAAGATGGAGAGAAGAGCCATTGATTTGGCTGTTTTAATCAGTAATTCCTTATCCTGTGTTACTTCAGATCAGTCATGCCCAGCTCTAGAGTTCTCTCTCGAACAGGGACTGTCACTATGAGAAGCATGTGGAAAGCAGGATGCATCTTTAACCAAAGTTAAAGTTATTCCACACGCTCAGCTCCCCAGGTCTAAGCCAAGAACCCAGAAGACCGGAGTCTGGTATGAGGGAGCCCTCGGTCTAGGAAGATTAACTATATGTTGGCAAGATAGCATTTCCACCTCTGCACAGGGTCTGCCCTAGAATGGTTTGGGCTCTGGGGATAATGTGAAGGGACTGATGCCTGGAGACCTTCAGACTTGCTGGTTAACTGGATATCTTGGGCATATGATTTCTGTGGTCCTCACCAGAACTTCAGAGGGGAGCTCAAGACGTCACTTCATCTCCTACCTGTACAGCCAAATAATATGGTGCCCTTCACTATTGGTACTACTGGCCTCTGGGGTCCATGATATCATAAGGAAAGCAGGTGTCTGGGTTCCTGGGTGGCATCTGCATTGGGGAATGAAGAAAAGCTGTGTATACACTCACTTGCCTCTCCACACCTACTGCCTAACTTCATACATACTTCTGCCCTCCCAGAATGCACTGCCTCAACTGCATGGGAGATGTGGTGCCCTAGGCCCTGGGGATGCGTTCCTCTGCTGCACAGAGCACCCATTGTCTAACAGCAGCAGGACCTCAGGCCTCCTGTCAGTCTCCCCCAACACCTTTTTTGTACCCGACAGCATCTTGTTGAGAGAGGCTGGGTTCCTCTGGTTGAAGTTGGGTCTGCCAGCTGCAGAGGACCAAAGCCCTCGCTCTGCTGGGCTGCAGGGCTTTCATGTTGCACTTCTGAAAGATAATAAAATATCAATCGTTTTGCCCTAGCAACGGGTTTAAGAGACTTTCTGAAGTATTGAATCGTCAGAAAAAAAATTTTTTTTTTTCGCTTTTAAGCACAGTGCATTATTAATACAGTGATCCATTAGGTCGAACAGTGAAGGGTCACCACAGAGACAGAAAGATCTGTTTTGCAAATGGTTAAACTTTGGGTTTTAAGATTAATTGCTTTCATTTGGATGCTTGCTCTTGGCCTAACTATCTCCACTTTACTGGAACACAGGGTTCGGGCTTTCTAAATGCTGTGGGTCTCCCTGTCAGCAAGAGGGGTAGTGAGCTCCTCCAACTCTCCTGGGAAAATAGTCCTTCCCCTGGCACCTACAGATGCCAGCTTGGGCTGCTACCAGACTATGGACTGTGAGTGTTGGCAGGGGAGACTGAAGTCCCAGGGGAGCAAAGAAACTCCTGCCCTGAACCCTGCAAATCAAATTTGACCTTCACTGATGGAGAAGATCTCCCCTCCCCTGCCCCTGAGTGAGGACCAGACTGAAGAGTAAGAGGATGCTGAGGGCACCCAGCTGGGAGTGCCAGCATGTTCCCAAATGCATGCTGGAACAGAGCTAGTCTGGGTCTAAACGGCCTCTGTAAAAGCCCAGCAGGATGGCTTGGGTGACCACAGGAAGCAGCAGGCACATTGTGGAACTAAACAGCAGACATGATTCCCAGGACATTTTTTAATAAATAAAAAAAAAAATGCTGAAGGAGAAGTGAAGCTGGGTCGGGGAGGACCAGACAGTGGAGTCTTCAATTGTTAATGACTGCTAGGAGCACAGCTTCGGCAGCTGACTCAGTTTGTCTGTGAGGTTGCTGCCAGTAGGACCTCCTGGTCTGTCCCATCATGCCTTAGACCAGAGAGAGTAGTGTGGCCTGTGGAGATGGAGACTGGGAGGAGCAGGCCACAGTATTGTTCCATGGCAGAGACCCTAGCCTGGTGAGTACTACAGCTTGCTAAGGGCTAGTAAAGGCCTAGCATGGGTGGCAAAGTGCCTGGCAGGAGGGGTTGTCTTTATCCACACCTGCCACAACCAGCTTCAGCAGCATCCAGTCTCTGCTGGGAGAGAGGCGTCACAAATCCTGAGCAGCAGGACAGTCACTGCCCCTTCCTGCACAAACTCAGCCAGCCCGCGAGTCTGTAAAGATGAGGCTCCCCCACCCCTCCTGGAACACTGAGCAAAGAGGCAGGTGTTCCACTCAGTTCCCCTGCTCTGCCATTCATTCGCCCACACAGAGGACTTAGGGGGATGGGGGACAGGGAAACAACATAAATTGGTCTGTCGTCCAGAATCCATGTCTCACTAATGTACCCAGATTAACTCAACTGTAAATTGTCTCCTTGGATGGCGGTGTCTTGCTAAAAGTTTCCCATATGATTCATGATTTGGATTGCTTTTAACGGCTATTGGCTAAGCAAGCCGGTGACTGTACAAGGTGATGCAATTGGCATTAGCGAGGGGAGGCACGGGAGCGTGTAATGCAGTCAATACTGCATTAACTACTGATGCCCAATTACAGGGAGCCTTTCAGGAGCATTAAGACCAAGGGAAGCTGAGATCACTAGCCGCTGCTCGCCTAAAAGCTTCACCCTTTGCGTGCCGGGCTCGACACTGGCATGGCCACCTGCTTGGCCTCTGTGGCTGAGGGAGCTGCCCAGTTCCCTTGCTCTTTCTTTCTAACCATGCCCCACAAAGATACTTTTAGCACATGGAAATGTGCTGGGGTCTGCCTCTCACCTCTTCTGAGAATTCATTTCCTCCCTTACATTCTCTCCCAGAGGAATCAGACCCAGTGACAGTCCAGTGCCACCTTCTTTAATTTAAAGAGCCTCTCAGCATTTATGAACAGGACTTGGATGTGGTTTACTTTGGCCTCAGAAGGATAATTACTGATGAACATCAGATGCAGACCCTCTGTGGTCCTGGGGGAAAGGCTCCTGAGATTCAGCTCATCTGGGCTGCCAGCTCAAGGCAGTGTGTATTGGCTGTGGCTATGGGCTAGGCCATTTTTCAATAGAAGACAGAGCTGTGGTGACAGAAATGGGGAGTGGGGAGAGTGGTGCCCATGAATGACTTGGGCTGTGTTAGAGTTCTAAGCAAATGCAAGTTCAGAGATTTGGTGCCCCCCACACCTGAACGGTGTCCCACACATGGCAAACCTATCTCTTCCTCTATGTAACAAAGAGGTCAAACTTTTTGCTTGGCTCAGTACTCCAGGATCACAGGGCCTCCCAGTACATTCTGATTAAGGCTTCAGGCAGACCGAGGATTGGTTAGGACAGACGATAGAGAAAGGGGTGTTACACAAGGTCATTAGACCTACTGCAGCCGCTACCATTCTGCTGAGCTCTGCTAGTGCAGTGTGTGCTCTGTGTGTCATGTTCTGTCCGAGGCTGAGGCTGCTTTGCCTCCATACCCTGTCACCTCTGCAATGAGAACAGCTCCATCTGCCTAGATTGTCACCAGAATTAAATGAGGTACTGTCAGTGCACACACTCCACCAACAGGAAACTCCATAGCCACATGATGCATCTCCGTTCCCTGCTCAGTTTCAGTACAGTCTGAAGCAAGGCCTGGGCCCAGTCCTGTGGCGTGTTCACTAATGAGAACTGGACCTTCCTCACTCTCCCTCCTGCC